TCTATCTTGGCCTCGAAGTTAGGACAGTAAGCTCACACCTTAAGTTAAAGAAAGGTAGATTTAATATTTTAAAAACTTTCGAGAAAACGATGGCCATATAAACTTAATGTGTGCATCGTGGATTAGACTTAATGCTCGCGGCAGACAACTGCTGTTCGCGTCAACATCACTGCACGTTGAAGGAATTTCATGTCAAACACCGACATATTGTGCGGGGCATAATAGTGTATTTATGACTGATATTCTTACTCTTAGTAAATATAAAATTGCAAAATACTGTCCATCCCATTTGGATGCTATTTACTGTCATTCAATTTAAGAAAGTCCAATAAATATTTGTTATGTTACATCTGTGTTTAGAATGAAGATTACATCTTGGTCTCCAAAAACCGTCCCCCCCTCTTTGTCGGCTATTTCATATTTGCTTCCAAAATAGTATACATTTTCTAAAACCAAAAATGTCTCCATAGGCCACATGTGGTCCTGTGGATCACTGTCTTTAAACATAGGTCCCCGCAAAATATTCCAGTCACCTTTCAAAGTCAATAATCTCCTTGCTACACCATAACAAAGTGCAGAAATCGATGATTTTTAACGCCAAGACAAATTTGTTTTATCCTCCTGCGTTGTTTATATAAAATTGATGACATCACATGTGTTTGAATATGACTTCGCATGTGTTATAGCAACACGAAACGTGCTGGGCAAAGTTTATCTTCCCTCAACTCATCGAAATGGAAGAAAGCCCCACGGCGACCGGCTATCGAGCTATGATGCATACTGTCGTTTTTCGGAATGCTTTTCTTCAAGGCTTATCGATTACATTGCTTCTTTACCTTCAAAGCAAGACATGGGGATAAGATTACAGCTTCTTTATGTTCAGATTTCCCCTTTAAGTTGACCTAGTACTTACAACTATTTCTTATTTACTTGGTTTGAGTGAATTTCGCTAGTTTGTCTTTGACTGTTTAACAAATTTTAAGAATCTTAGCATAACAAGTTGAGTATACAAACATCCTTCATACTTATCTATGAATTGAACTTCATCACTCCTGTCTTTATAAATAGTACACAGTAATGACGTACCAACCATAACAACGTTTGTCTATGTTGACAAGAATATAACCCAATCCGTAACCCAATCCGACAGGATCATTAAAGGTATTCGTAAACAAGTAAGAAAACGTACAACTTTATGAACAATAACTTCTGGTTTATTGTAAATAGTGACGTTTTGATGTAGATTCTTACACCGCTATTAAGCTGGAGTTACATCGAAACGTCGCTATTTGCAATAACTCTGAAGTTGTTATCCATAAGGTTGTACGCTTTCTTACGTACTTCCAGCGTGATAACGGTATACGAATCTACATCGAAACGTCGCTACTTGAAAATAAAACAGAAGTTGTTATTCATAAAGACGTACGTTTTCTTACTACCCCGACAACCTCCAGGATGCCAATCATACAGTTGTTCGTAAAGAGCACAAGCCGATGGAAAAACTGATGTAACGTAACCTAGCATGCTATCGTTTAAAACATCATAACAATAAGTACAAATAACAGAACGATGATAAATATCAATAATGCGTGCGTCTTCATCTTCACGTTCATTTACACTACTCCAACGTGATGACACGGATCCCAGTGGATCAACACTAAAACCTAGGAACAGAGAGTTTAAGACAACGCCGCATTGACGCAATCAATGTCTCATTCCACCTGATCTCTCGTCATCAAACAGAACAGATTGGCGTCAAACCCTCGCAGTCGACTGCCGTCTAATTGTTTCTGAAAATCTCATTTTTGGATTTGATTCAGAAATTTCTGGCGAAAACGATTATATTCATTTGGCATGAAACATTGGAATGCATTCTATTAAATATTCACGTTATTTTACAATTTATTAACCGCGATATTAGTGATCTCGCTTGAATTCAGATGTTGTGCTCACAAAGCATGTCTTTACTTTGGTTTAAGGTTGTATAGTTCAGGCGATGTGGAAATGTAAAAGTTAAACAACAGAAATGTTAACAACACTTTACAAAGAGCAATTTATTATGATTTCGTTATACAATTTAGTCTATGCAGCATTATTATCCATACACTGATTAATGGAAAGAAATAATGAACATGATGACGAAATATTTGTCAAAATGAAGAAAGCATCACCTGTGCTACAGGTATTTTACAATTAACGAAACCATCACCTGTGCTACAGGTATTTTACAATTTACGAAAGCATCACCTGTGCTACAGTTATTTAACAAATAAAGAACGCATCACCTGAGCTGCAGGTATTTAACAATTTATAGGCAATCGTGAAGAACTGAGTCATCGTCAAAGAAAACGACACATAAAACCATAGAAGGCTTTTTTTCTTAAAGTAAAGGCCGATTTGCTTTTTAAATGAATCACTAACCTTTCTCTTGAATTCAGCGGAACGTATTATCGGGATTATAAACTTAGTCACGAGAATATTTAAATTCTAAGATGTGACAATCGTTATTTGAGACAAAGCACCTGAGAATTCGCCTATACCCATTACAATTTGCTCATCAGGCAACAATGTCTCACACGCGAACAATCATAAAAAAAGGGAAAGGCACATCGTCGATTGTTTAATCTATATTTTAGTCATGCAACAAGTGTACATTAGTGGCAAAAAAAGAAAAGAAAACCGACAACTCTTTTCCAAAGAATGTTAGCCGAATGGAAGTATTTGTTGATTAAGTTCATTGATTTATATTCTGACAACATGTGACTTCACATCTGTCCACAAATCACCGCTCATTTACCCTCTTAATTGATTTTTTACTGGTGCGAGTAAACATCTTGTGTGGCTGAGTCTTAATTTATTTGCAATTTGCCATTAACCTGTGTCGTAAGGCTTTTTTTTCTCCGGCAAAGGTGCTTCGACCTAGGGATTTGCGCATGCATGACAGGTGTATGACACACAGAACCAGTCAACGCGATTGCAAGCACTCTACAAATAAGCCAAAAGTTTACCATGGACAAGTGAAATGCAAATCGTTTCAATAAACTTCACTCAGGGTATCTTAACATAGAAGATGAAGGAATGCAGTACAAGTGGACGCAGGTTTCTATCAGACATGACCGCAACATGTATTTTCCACGAATTTCGTATATAACGAATGTTGATCAACATCAATGTCTAGTGTATAGTGGCATACCTATAAGCAAGTGTTTCGTTCATTGGTTCGTCGGGGACAGCCTTAAATGGCAAGCAACAAACAGCTGGCAAGCCACGATATCACTATATCCGTGTAAAGCTGTTTAGATGTCATTTCTAAAAAAACCAAAACGTGTTGAACTTCACATTCACACAATGCCAATATCACAAGCTGAATAATGTCGTCATAGAGTTATTAAAAACATGAACGTTGGGCCGAAAAGAAAGTTAGGATTATGGACAAAGATTCTCAACCAGATACCATGCAAATGAACTGGCTTTAAGACAATTATAAACCTTATATACATGCACATGGTTGTATGGCTAGTAGCTACCTTGCCTGTGGTCGCACTCTGCTCTGTTTGTTTGACAATGTTGTTAAACGCCGCAGCCAGCCATATTCCAGCTCTATGACTGCGGTCTGTAAATAATCGAGTCTTGACCAGACAATCCAGTGATTGATATCATGAGCATCAATGCACGCAATTGGGATACGATGCCATGCATCAGCCAAGTCAGCGAGCCTGACCACCCGATCCCGTTAGTCGCCTCTTTCGACAAGCATGGGTTGCTGAAGACCTCTTCTAACCCGGGTCTTCACGGGTCGCATTCTGCTCTGACATCTAATGTGACGCTGCATGTATAGACAGAGGTTCTATTAATAATGCAATTTAGCACAGTAGTTACTGTTGAGTATACATTATTGCCAATAATATGCTTTGATAAAAATATCTTTGTCACATGAAGCAAATTAAGTGATAGCATTCCTCATGTTCTAAACATGTCTGTAGACAAATGAGAAACAGTAGATAAATGAGAAACATGACAACAAGATGAGGACGATGTTGCGGTTTCCAGTCCTCTCTGAAAATGAGTGAGCCAGCGAGTGAGTGAGTGGTTATGATGCACTTTTAACAATATCCCAACGCTACCACTGCTATTTGCACTATACATAGGCTTCACACATCACATCGAAGATAGAAATCAGACCGTATCTTCGTAGTGGTTGCCTTTACAATTATTCTCCCCACGGTCCGTTCTGTAAATAAAAGGACAAAACCATTTCCATAATCATAAGAAGTCAGCTGTACGATTCCGACTATATCACAATATCTAACAGCGAAAAAACCCTTTCCGCAATCATTAGAAAAATCTTGGAAATGATCAAACCGTTGGCATAAGATGATTAGCCATCTCGTTGTCAATGTAAATGTGTACACTAACAGCCACAAAAACATTTCCATGATCACAAGAAATCTGTGCTGAAGTCCACTGTACGAGGTGAGGTGAAATTGGGTTTAACGTCGCGTCGAAGATTATTGCACTTATATAGCGACGTGCATGCACGTGTGTGTGTGTGTGTGTGTGTGTGTGTATGGCTGCTAGTACTAGTCCGGACTGATGCCGATTTATAGTGCTAGCTCACTGAGATACCATGCCGCAGTTTAACATGAATACCCCACTCAGACACAATATACTGACTCCGAGCCGACCAGTCCTTGTTTTAGCCCCTTAATGCCGAGCGCCAGACAGGGTAACAACAAATACCATCTTTTAACGTCTTTTGGTATGACGCGGCTGGGGATCGAACCCCGGACCTTCCGCTCTCCGGGCGGACGCTCTACCCTTAGACCACGGATCCACTGTACGATTTCGACTGTATCATGAGCATGTGTTCATGAATCACTATCAATTATGGATCATACCAGGTGTTCGCGAAAAGGTGGGCGTTTCCTGCCCCACCGTCACAAACACGGTATCAAACACAAGATATAAATGATGTATTGATATATTCCTTTACTCTGCAGATACATCATACGGACGCCAGAGGAGTCCTTACAATCCGACTTTTTAGTTTCGAGAACCATAAAGGCCGTACCTACGATGGAAGCTGCTGCGATCAGACCGCCAAAAGCGGTAACACCTGCCCCGATCAGTGCGATTACGTCATGAGGCTCATCATCTCAGGGCTTGGAAGGTAAGGCTTGATCTAACAAGGACCTTGTTCTTCTTTGACATGAACAAACGACTCCAGAGCTTCCATTCTTTATTTAATGCCATGTTCGTGTAGATATGTGGTCTACTAGGATGAGAGCATATGTTGCCAACGTTTGCATTTGGTAATTACCATAGGCAATAGTAAATAAATATAAATCATATAATATTAGGTCTATCTGTAAATACACATGCCCAGGTTAAACTACAGCCACGTTTTGGCGGTTTCATTTGCGGTCGTTTCTTGCTGCTATTGTTTACTTTACTCGATGGTGAATATGGTCGTTTCATGAGTTTATTGAAACATTTGTGAAAACTATTTGCCATCATCATCATGTATAATCATTGTATCACGCTTTATAATCCAGATTATGAATGCATGTTCAGACTACACTGCTATTGGTGATTTGACATCGATACATACTTTATCATCAGTATTATCGTTTTGTAGCATATCATAACGTTACAATGTTGGTTAGCTAAAGTAGGGATCATGAATAATAAAATCTCTCTGCTACTCATGTTCGTCGTGTCTCTACGATACTAAAATGACCGAATTTGTTACAGGGCGAATGACCATGTATTCCTCTTCCACCGACCTCTGAAATATGATGCCAATGACATTTCGTTCCAAGATGAAGGGACCGACATGGTCCTCACTATTCTCTTCGATGAATGGCCTAACATGGTAAGATTTCATGAAATACATTGACCACCAAGTTTAACGTTGGTATGCATGAACATTGGCATGAGACGTCTTGTCACATTTAAAAATTGAAGCACGTTCATATTTGTACAAAACTTCCATCAAGTAGTTAAGGCTCACATAGAGTGTTCCCCGCAAAGCTTCCTCAACTTCCATATCAAAGATTATATTTGCCTCTATGAACCTGTGGCAGATCCTTTAAAGTCTTGTCCTCTTTTATCGTGAGGCAAAAACATGTGTGCATGTCACGCATATGGTGAAACGCCTCCAACGGCTGTTTGAGACACCTCCATGATTACGGAATAGCGAAAACATTATGATGCCTATTGTTTGCCAGTGATTAGTGTGTCAATATTCACCTGAGATTAACAGCTGTGGTGATTTGATAAAACAAGCAGTCATTATTCAATGCACACGGAGCTACTGCCCCGGTCTTAAGCACGGCTCATTCCGCGAGTCAACAGATTTGTCCGCTATCTCAATGTACAAACGTGATGTTGGTTCGTCAGACGTCCTATCGACAGGTGGTCTGGCTACTGACCATCGTTCTATTGATAAATGATTCACACTGCGTTATGATGCACCAAGTGCCATTTTCACACTATTTCGTGATGTAGAAAATATCTGATGAATGTTATATGAACAGAATGGTAAACTATTTACTTGAGAACATTGTCAAATCCTCGATATCCTATAACCAACGTGATGTTGTGTTGCAGGGTCATGTGAAGATGAACGTGTTCTTCTACGACTACGACGACTACGACCACACGACACTGTTAGTGGATTGGTTCGAAAATGAGCTGAGCAGAACTGTCGAGAAAGGGCATTTTCAGAAGGCTGTCGCACAAGGCAACCGGCAGTCAGACAAAACATCGTAAGTAAACCTTCAACACCTTGACCTACTCAAGACCTCCATGACGTATCATCAGTTTGATAGTTGATGTATTTTATCCAGAGAAACGTTATCTTTTGTATCTAGTGTACGTAATTTACATGATTAAAATCTTGTATAAAGCCACAATCAATGCTGCTTTATTACTTACCAACTCATTAAACCATGCCTACAGCCATTACACACACTGCATACCAGTACTAAACTGCAAATGATGACGTTTTAGGATGTATTGATTAACGGGACTTCCGGGCTGAACATTTTTGTTCAGCAAAATCAGTTTTTAAACTGTTTGTAAGTATCTTGCCTCAGTACTGAAGATAATCGCTGTGACAAAATATCCAGGTGACACAACCAAAGAATAAATAACATTACGTTCAGCGTACATTTGATTAATTAACACACCAGTACGTGGTGACACAGCGCGCGGGCCACAATTCAGATGAAGTTAAGGAATGTAAGACGCGGAGAGTAGGTGGTTGGGTGGCCGTGCGGGGCAGCTTGACTCCTAAGAGTATCAAGGACTTTGGTCCTGCCCCACACTGAATCACACGTAGGCAAGTGACTTTGTTCGCAATATGCCTCTGTTCACCCAACAGTGAATGGGTATCGGTAGGATGAGATTGCAATGTGACTGTCAACCTTCCAGCACCTCACGGGCAGCTTTGGTTGTATACTCCCCGGGGAGGGGAGAATGAAAATCAAGTTCATACTGATCTATTGACCGGGGTCATAATAATGTAGTGCCCTGAGCGCTCACTTGGATGGCATTACTTGTTATTACTTTATAGGCATTATTGGTTTCGTTGTCTCAAGACGAAGTAAAAATAAAACGAGAACGCAAGAGAAAAATCAGTCTCGATTATCTGGCGAAACAGATGACATTGCGCGATAAAGGCAAAATAGTAATAAAAATTATATAAATGGATCACTGAAAAGCAGTGATGACACAAGGTGTCCGTGAAAACGGTAACCATCCTGCTCTACCGGTAGTACCCGCCACTCACATAATTTGCTATAAAAACAATTTCATCAGGTCAAAAGTAAAGTGTTAAAGTGTGTGTCTGCAGATCGAGAGAAGAATACTGTCGTTTCGTAAAAGAAATAATACCAACTACTTTACAGCTTAATGAATACAATGCACAATGCAATACAAACACTAAAAGATCATGTCCACAAATCAATTAGCATATATTACAGAAAGAAACAATTGGTTCCAGGTAAATTATGCACGTGCTAAGAAAGTACATATAGTGTTAATTTCTAAAGTTTGTCGACTGGAACAATTTGTTGAAATAGAATGGGGATAGATTGTGAAACGTTTCTGTATTTGCACCGTTTACCTTGTGGAGAGGCATGATCAAACCTGAAACTTTTAGTGGCAACAAACATAATTACTAATGTGTTATCTGTGATAACGATCTGATCACGTTCCACAAGGCGATCTTTGCACTTCGCCTAGGGTAGGCCTACGTTAAAGTATGGGAGTTACATTCATCTTAGCACTAAGTTCGTCTTGTGGAACAGGGCTCTGGTCTACGAACAATAGTACATGAAGACGTCTAATGCCATGGCTGTATTCAAATACATGACACTTTTTGAGATACTAAAGAACCAGACGCAAAACATACTAAAAAAATGATTCATGACTGGACGTGGCTGTGTTGTGGTCCCCCAAATATGTTTAGCTTCTCCTTTTCGAAAAAGAATTCTGTCTCAAGCAAAAAGCACCACATCGACCCCCAATCTCAAATGCTCGGTCTTAACGATTGGATTGTATATGAATATTGATTAGAAGTGGAAATGTCTTTCGAGGCCCTCACGTGAGTACTCAAATGAAAGGTCAATGTCGGTGAACGCGATCTTGCAGATTCTAATGCTTAATCTAATTAGGCTGATTACGTTTGTTAATCCTTCCTAAGAAACTAGGTAAATAAGGGGTTAGTCAACTGGGCTGCGAGAGCTTTCTCTGATCCCGCGAGATTAGAGCTCAATCAGAACATATCGTAAAGTGGTAACGTGACACTTTGTAGTCTCACTCTGGGCATCCTATCGACGACTTGAAGTTCGAATTTACATTGTACTGAACTTGGAGAATGTACTGAGGACTGTTTTTAGTTGTTTAACTGCCCAACGCGACATGTCACTAAGCCCAACTGTCTGCGTGACGCGATGAAGGCATCGTGTTGCTTTGTTCTCGAAACCTGACCCAGTATCAAGACTTTGTATGTTGTATTCAATGACGATCCTACGTGTGTAATTGACATTGACAAGATCTCATTGTATAACACATTTTGATATAACCTCATTGTTACAGTGCACACACACAGACACACACTCACATACATACACACACACGTTCAAATACATGGTGTTTGTAGACTACAACAGCCATCCACATATCCCAAGCCAAGTTAAACATGCGCTGCACATGACGTACGGACAATCTTAAGACAAAGACCACGTTGAAGCTGTTGTAGCATGATGACATACTCAAAATCATTTCTAACCAAATATTTCTTTTGGAAAGATGGATTCACTGCTGTTTTGAAATAAATGTTATCTATCGAGGGGCTTTGGTGTAGCCTAGTGGTTAAAGCGTTCGCTCGTCACGCTGGATCCGGGTTCGATTCCCGACATGGGTACAATGTGTGAAGCGCATTTCTGGTGTCCCCCGCCGTGATATAGCTGGTATATGCTAACAGCGGCGTAAAACAATATTCACTCACTCACTATATCTATCTATATCGATCTATATCTATCTATATCGATCTATATCTGTCTGTCTATCTATCTAACTAGATCTATGTATATATCTTTATATATGCACACACACACACACACACACACACACACACACACACACACACACACACACACACACACACACACACACACACACACACACATATATATGCTGCACCATGCTTTGTTGTGATAGTCTTCGGAAGGATGTAAAAAGAAGTGACTACCTACACGTGTACTAACACTGAGGCAGTTATGACATTTACTTATTAATAATCTGCTGTAGTCATCCTCGACTATCCTATCCAGTATATTTTATCGCCATACTATTGAGATAAGTACCCTGGACCGGCATAGTGTCATTCGAATAATCGACTCACTCATAATACACTAGATTATCAAGGACGTGCTCTAGTGATCGGTCTAAACTTGCGACAGATGTCGACACCAAATTATAGGTTGCTGTTCTGTCAAATTGTTAACAAATGATAGTTTCGAATGAGAAGATTATTATGTCTCAGTAAGTGACTTTGGCCTACCATAGCAAGCATAAACTATGATATAATCATATTTTAATGCCTCTCAGATCTTCCCTACAGTTTCTTTTCTTATATGGTACATACTTTTTATGCTATAGATCACACATAATATATGTAACTACGTTAAGAGCCACTTTGTGTAGGATGTATATAATTATGTACGCTGATGGAACGTATTAAAGGCAATACAAAGAACCGATTTCATCTGTCTGACATGACATACACAAAGCGCCCCAAGTCCCATATTTTGCTTAGTTACATGTATCATATGTTTGGTAATCAGCAATAGACTTTCGTTCCTTGAATTCTCCCGAAAAAATATTTGGTCTATTACCATTACCCTAGCATGCTTCCATTCTTCATTCACACTAAACGTATATCCATATAGATGACACAGGAAAGGCGTATAACATTGGGTAATTATGATTTCTGCGCAGAAATTCATTAACTGATGGCTATCGTGGCTTCCATGAGAGAAGAGTATTGAAACACTATACTCCTTTTTTTCAGTTTTATATAGGCTGATAGTAAAAGTAGGCTGGAAGATAACAAGGAACAAATACATTCAAAACAGAATTTCACAATTACATATGTTGCATATCAGTACATAAAACTGCCACTGTATCCAAATATGATAGTTATAAAACCACACAAATTATTATTTAATCAGTCTGAAAAATCAGTAGAATTCATTACATTATAACGATGTATTGTGACACAAGGCTACAATATGTCTTGTCAGAATTAGAAATAGATTTTGTAACTGATTTTCATTTCTTTGAGATAATAAAATGCAGATCACATATATTGTTTGTAACAATGTCATCAACAGCAAACATTACATTACTAAATGTTTATGTAATTACATTATCTAAACAGCATTTCTCCTCTATTTCAGGCTTGAATTCGAATGGTCCGTCCATTGCTTCACCGCTAACGACTGCCTCCAACCTCCCCCAGAATGGAAAAGTTGGCCCTGGGACAGAAAGGAACAGGAAACTAAACCTGGCCTCTACATTCCAAAGAGCACATCCGAGAAGACGCCGCATCCAACTACTACACTTGAGCTGACGAATGATTCCCATACTCTGCAGTGGAAGAATGGTGAATGGAAGAAATCACACAACACCGACGAAGGTACCGGAGCTGACAATCACGACTTCGATGCCCCCGCTATTGGATCAAGAGACGAGAAGTACAGAAATGTAAGACGGAAGGTGTATGGCACATCTGAAAAGACAACTTCCATGTACGAGGGCATCAGTGCAAAGGCTGTAACAAACATTGCTATTGCTCCTGTCGCCGCAGACGCCCATAGATCATGGCCAGCATCGCAAAATGTAAAGGGGCAGTCACAGCATAAAGGAAATGCACTGAAGACATCTATAAAGTCAGGAACAAAAGTGAACAGGCAGGGATTTCGGAATCCTTACACGAGGCCATCCAATAGCAGAGGTTTCGTAAAAAAAGTTACCCCTGCCGTGGGTAAACACGGAGAAGACGCTATAAAGGTATCCAGTGTACGTAAAAGTAAAACAAAAAATCAGCATACCACTGACGTTAATACCATCCGTCCCCATAACGTCAAAGCGAAGAAGAAGTCAGGCTTGGCAATCAAGCATGGTATTTCACCATTCAGCAAGCCAAATGAAAATGACTCTAGTGCCAGGAAACAGAGCGTACGTTACATGACATCAACTACTGATGCGTCGATGGCACCAAATTATTACTCAACTGGCCGTTCTAGACAACCTATATCCTTGGGAAAGACGCCCGTTCCAAAGACACGTACATTTAAGGATGCTGTAACAAACCAGGCTGTTATATCATCTGATAAACCAGTTGATAGATCTACAATTGCACCATCATCAACAAGACGCAATCCTTATCACACTTTCAAAACAGCCAGTTGGAAGTGGATACATCATTCATCAACAGTGACAAGCACCGATAGACTACCTCATACCTCCTCCAAGCCCCAAGGTGCTACAACCACGACTCCATCATATACAAGGAAAAACATTAAAGGCCACACAACAGGAACAATGTTGAAGAAACCAGTTACTACAGCATCTACAAAGGCATCTGGCCAAGTGAAGAAAGCTAATACAGTCAAACAGAGTCCATGGAGAAAACCAACCAAAGCAACGAAGCAACCTCAAGATACATCAGCTGTAACTGAAAAGAAGCAATTCTTCCCAAAAGATAAGTGGCAAACCCAGTCTACAAAGAAGTCTTGGGCAAAGAAACATGAAATACTCTCGCCTAGTACCCAGTCCTATTTCTGGCATGCGTCAACAACTGATAAGCATCGTAAAGAACACACAAGAAAAACTAAGACTGTTACATCATACAAAGACCAACACACTACTAGAACCTATGTTTGGCGTGGTTCGTCTCGTAAACCAAGACGCAAGGCTGCTCCAACTGTTCCCACTCAAAATGTAACACCATCTTTCAAAGATCAAACAACAAGGAAACGGTTCGGCGAGAGAAAGAGAAAATATTTCAGTGGTGCCCTAAAGAACAGATATGAACTTATGTATGAAGCTGAACATGAAAACAAGGAAGACAAAGCTAAACCAATGGTTCGTTTACCATCCAAAACGACAGAGAGGGGTGGCTCAAAATCAATCTATGTTCAACCAACCACAAAACCTAAACCAAAAAAGACAGAAAGGAAGGCAATCCCCGCAGTTGTTGTTGGACATATATCAAAACAAAAGGTATCAACACAAAGGCCACAGTCTGAAAATCATTCCAAGGCAACAGCAATGTCTACTAAGATTACACAGTCCATTCGCAAAAATGCGCCCAGAAGACCATTTCAGCCGTGGTCCAGTTCTGTAACAGAACAAACAGAACCTGTTTCTACTACAGCGAAGGCAATAACATCAAATATAGCAAGAAAAACACTCATGGATAATATTCGTAAAACGAAAACATCTTCATCGCCTAATGTTCAAGCAGTCACTACACGAGCATTTCAATCATGGGCTGCCTCAAAGTCAACAAAACAAAGTACCCAGACACATCCACCTACAACCAAACGTATGAAATCTACCTCATCTGTGCGCCCCTCTGAAAAGGTCCCCTCTGTAAGCAGTCCCTTCAAGCCGACAACACAGACAGTTAAGGTTCAAATAACAACAAAGCCCAGTTTGACCAAACCAACTGTAGAAACGGTGTCTCATATGAAGAAGAAAAGTCCATACACACCACCAAAATCGACCACAGGAAGCAATGGGAAGAACATGCACAGAACAGTCAGACCAACTGTGAAACCTCTCACAGCCACTGTCAATAGTCCCTTTGCACCTGTAAAACCATCAAAGGAGACAGAGGTGCAAGAAGATATGCTGAAGGATCTCAAAAGCATGGTCCAAAGTAATATGAAGAAAATGATAACTGATGATACCAATTTGAAAATCCGCCAACACACCAAGAAACCCAAAAATACAACCCTAACAAGAAGCAATATTAAAATTGAAGAATCTCCATTCAAAACAACCAAAGTCGTTATTGGGAATGGTGAGACTTCTACACAAATGTATCCCTCAACAACAATGAAACAAAAATGGTGGGAATGGCAGACAACAAAGGCCGTGGGAGTAACAACCTCTAGATCAGCACCATGGACTCACTTTACACGATGGTGGCAGAGACCACAGACTGTTCCAACCCTGCCACCTCTGAAAGTCTTACCAGCTGGTGTGAATGAAGGAAAGGTATTAGATGTTGTTGATGAGTACAAAAGAATGAAGATTAAGACACAGAAGACGAAACAGTCAAAGATCAGCCACTCCCTGATGAAGAAGGTACCCACTAGCTCAACCAAATCACAGAAGACTCCTAAATCAAAGGCAAAAGTCAATCCATTTGTGAAGCTGAGATCTACAACAATGTCTCACCCGACCCACGGCACTACCCGAACAACAAACAAGCCCCAAACAACACACAGGAGAAGGGTGAATCCAACTACAAAGAAACTTGTCAGTATAACAGAAACTCCTAAGAAAGCTGCCCCTGTAGTGACGGCATCAACACCGAAATATGTTCCCACAACCAGAAGGAACAGACATAAAGGCACTCGAATAGTGTCAACCAAAGTTACTAAAGTTTCTAAATCAGGAAAAACAACATCTGAGAAAATTGACAAAACTACTCAGATGAGTGGATGGAACCCCTTCACTGAGAAGACAAGCAAACAATTTACAACCCGTTTTCATACCACTGTAACACCTCAGCCAGACAGCACAAAGATCACAAGGTGGGGGATACGGAAGCCAGGGATGAGAAACAAAGCTCAATCCGCAGCTCCCTCAAAACGGATCACAGACAAGCACAACCAAATGACTGGACATCCAACTACTGGCTCTCCAAGATGGGGAAAACTGAAACCTGCAGTCAAGAAACCATCTCCTATTGAAAGCCCCTTCAAGAAAGAAACGTTATCAACCTTAAAAGTTCAGAATACACAGTATCCCCGAACAACAAGATGGGGGAAATGGAAACCAACCACAATCACTCCTAAACGTACAGATAACGGACAAAGAAAGATATCTAGGCCTAAAAGTAACATTAAGGAACCGTTGAATATCAAAACCTTCAACAATAGGCATACTACTACACCACCACATTTTGACACATCAAGAAATACAAGAAAATGGCGTTATATTACTGGAGAGAAAAATGTCCACAAAGGAAAGACAACTAATATATGGGAAGGATTGATGAGCACAAGAATAATTACTAGCAGAAGAACAATCCCAATGGGACCAGCACCAACCCAGAAAACACCTTTCCAACTGAAGAATTTGAATAAATTGAAGAACTGGGAAAGAGATAACCAATCAAAGAAGACAGTTTCGCAACCAAAGAAAAATGATTCTGGACAAAACATTAGACACAACCCGCGAGGTCAACATACTACAAGAAGAAATTATGCACCAACGCGCATGCCAGTTTTGCGCAGCACGTCAAGAAAAGTCACCCGCTGGTGGCAGAGAAGGACATCCTCAGCTTCTCAGACTGTGAGGACGACAGCAGCCAAGCCAAAATTCAGAAAAGTTACTCTTCCCCCTTCAGTGAATAGATCGACAAGGTGGTGGAAACGAATAAATCGAAAAGAAACGCCAAGAACAACACCTGCAACCTTTGTTGGTACATCTACTGGGGCATCAAGTGGCAGGAACACTGTATATACCCTCAGACCAACACGATGGTGGCGGAGAGTGAAGACCACAACTCCAACAGTTTCGTCCACAGATGGTGATATACCTGAATCACGTTTAACGCCCATACCAACAAATGCACCAACTAAGACCTGGCAGAGGAGGAAAGGAAATGACAAAACTACTGTTGAAACAAACTCGGGTAGAAAATCAGTATTTACCAAACCTGACTCTAAGAAGTTTGCAAGATACACTGGGCGTCCAACACGATTTTGGCAGAGACGAACCACCACTGCAAACACTGAATCTCCTTCAACCAAATTGTGGAAGAAGAAAACTGAAAGTGTTACTAAACCAGCAAATGCTATGTATTCAAAACATAGCACAAGGTCCTGGAGAAGAAGAACCACCACCCAATCAATGCCGACTTCCAGATCAAAAACAGTGATCACTTCATCTATCTTCACACCAAAGACAAGACCGTCGTGGGGAAGACATACCAGAAAACCAATTGTGTTCCAAAAGACATCTCCATCCTCAACCAAGACACTGAATACCAAATCACCCTTGCAGGAATCTGAAGAAAAGAACAAGAACTCAAAATCAGATGTGTGGTCAACAATCTCAGCAATGAAGGGTATGGATGCAACATCTAAATATGATAGAACCACAAGAAGAACAACACCGACAAAATCATGGCAACGGAAGATGCAAACAACACAAACAGTGACGACAACGAAACCACTGACAAAATCAGGGCAAGGAAGAACACTACGAAAATATCCATCCACAACAATGAAACCTGTGACACAATCCTGGCAACGGAGAACACAAAGAAAGCTTATAAAGACAACCACAAAACCACAGACGAAATCATGGCAACGGAGGACAAAGACGAATCATATGAGCACAACAACAAAACCACAGACGAAATCATGGCAACGGAGGACAAAGTCGAATCATATGAGCACAACCACAAAACCACAGACGAAATCATGGCAACGGAGGACAAAGACGAATCATATGAGCACAGCAACAAAACCGCAGACGAAATCATGGCAACGGAGGACAAAGACGAATCATATGAGCACAACAACAAAACCACAGACGAAATCATGGCAACGGAGGACAAAGACGAATCATATGAGCACAACAACAAAACCACAGACGAAATCGTGGCAACGGAGGACAAACACGAATCATATGACCACAACCACAAAACCGCAGACGAAATCATGGCAACGGAGGAACTGGGCAACAACAGCAATAATACCACAGACAAAATCATGGCAACGGAGGAAACTCACAACCCCTGAAACAGCACGAACACGGCCAGTGACTGTGAAGAAGACGAAACACCACACCACAACTCATCAATCTGCCACGAAATGGTGGGCAAGGAGAAGAACCACAAATGTTCCTGAGACAACTTCAAAAACAGATTCTCGAAATAATGGCAAATCATCCGATGCATTTACCAAAACGAAACACATGTGGACAACCGTGCCACTGCCAGATGCAAAGAAGGGTAGAGGTGTTGTCACCACATCAAAAATTGACAAAACAACTGATAAAATGAAGGGATGGAACATATTTGAATTTCTTCCTGAAGTTCTCAGTAAGATGTACAGTGGTCAATCAGTAGAAGAAATGAAAAAAGAGAAGAACAGTTTTTCTATTACTTCAGCTGCTGCAGGTGCAACCCCAAATCCAAAGCAAATTCCGAAGTCTACACCAGCTGTCGTCACAACTCGACCTTTGATTGTAGTCAATCACGACACCAAGAAAAATGCATTGAAACCCTGGGAGAGGAGCAAGATGTTGAAAACGTTGATGCCAACAACCATGACTCGACTACATGGTGGCCGATCTACCACCCAAGTGCATCAGCGGACGTCGTATAGAACAAGTACATTACCTACCAACAGAGGCAGGAATTCTAGTACCAGACAGCACATAACCTCTACAGCTAGACCTAAAGATGTTTCAAAGGTGAAGCAGACAGGTATCAACCATACAACTGTCAAAGGTGATAGATCTACAAGCAGAAAAGGTATCCAGACTGAGAGTCGTTTAAACATCAAGAAACTGACATCAACGACGAGAGGAAGTAATGTTCACTTCAAAACAACACAGAAAACTCCACATGTAACAAGTACAAGAAGAAACGGAGGTATTAAAATAGGAACCACTACCAAAAGAGCCATGAAGCCTTTGTCAACTACACCACAACCAACAAGAAAAACAACAACAAGAAGATCTTCAACCACTCAGGGAAAGGCAACATCAAATATTAAGCCACCATCAAAGAAGAAAACAACATTAAGCAGTATACTGAAGACGACAACAAAGCCAGTGAAGATAGATTTGACCCTGCCGAACTGGATATCTTTGCCAACTAAGAGAGAAACGACAACCAAGGGCATGAAAAGCAAAAAGAACAACAAGAACAACAAGAACAACAAGAGCAACAAGACTAAAAAGACGAAAAATATTCAGAAAAAGAAGACACAATCTAAAACAACAGTAGCGCCGACCAAGAAGGTAGCTACAACAAAGAAGACACCTCAGAAGACACCGAAGGGTAAGCCTGTCATTGCAAAACCCAAAAACGTAAAGAAGAAGTTTGACTTGAAGGCACTTATGAAGAAGAAATTCGATGCAAAGAAGAAAGCAGATGTGAAGAAAAAAACAAATGCAAAGACGGAAACAGATCCAAAGAAAAAAGATGGTAAAAAGATTGGCATAAGTGTTGATACAAAGAAACCTGTAGCGAAGAAAATTGACACCAAGAAGACGATAATTTCACGGAAAATAGTGCCAAAGCCTACAGTGACACTATTAAATAAGACTTCCGACAAAGGTCCTAGAGTTATTGTTCCAAATGATGGATTGTTTGTGCCAGGACCAACAAAAATAGTAAAAATAGTGACATCTCAAAAAGATGAAAATGGGACAATAACAGAAGAAGAGGTATTTGTAGCAATACCATCAAATTCTGAAGCTCAGCAGATAGGGCTTCAAGTGAAAAGACTCAATATACAGACTGTGTTCAACCGGTACTGGCCGGCCATCTTAGGTCTGACGATAGGCACAGTGTTTCTTGTGGCAGCCGTTCTCACATCAGTGGCATGCAGAGCTCAAAGGTGGGTAGTATCAACTGGTTTCACATTGTAGTAATGCGTTTGCCCATATTTATGCACAACGTACCAACATTTAAAACTGATTGCGGATCAGTAATATAGACATAATTTGATTATCTAAGCCATACTCAGCAGAGATACGAAAATACGACCTACGATTAACACCAAATTAGAGTGCTATGCTTCAATTGTTTGATAGGCATTACTTAGAAGTTGACGGCTGACAAAGTAGACAAAATTTATGGACAACAACTTCTTTAATACTGTTAAGGCGACGTTTCGGTATAGATCCTGATACCGTCTTGCTTGACAACGATATAAGGGTCTATACCGAAACGTCGCCTTCACTGTATTAAAGAAGTTGTTATCCATAAATTATGTCTACTTTGTCGTGCTATGCTTCCTTAATTAGGCTGTGCGACACGGGTGGCCCAGTCGTCTAAGGCGCCGCGATTCAATGTGCAGAAACCTATGATTGTGGGTTCGAATCCCGGTTCGCCCAAATTATGTTTCTAGGTTTGTCAGCACCATCCCCGTGCTCTTGGGTTTCACCGAAGTGGTAAACGTCTAAGACCTGCATCACTTCGGGCTTTCCTCCCACATTAAGCTGATATATAACTGGAATACTGTTAAAAGCGGCGTTAAACCCAACTCACTCACACACTCACTAATGAGGCTGAAAATTGGAATGATACTGTTGACATGAAACATCCTAGCAGCCTATGCTAGTATGTCATACGATGTAGTTCTTAAGATTAAAGGTATCCTGGTTGATATTTTAAACAGGAAAAATAGTGTAGTAATGATACACAGATAGTAATGATGATCTAGTACCAACACAATCTACAGTCGTGAGGTTTGAAGTATCATTTTGTATATTGTTTAATTGATGGATAATACGTGATAATGTTTTCTGATAAAGACCTGACGTCTTATTGATATTAAAAGTTTGAATGGTGAAATTGTTATAAAAAGCGCAATTAACGAAAATGCTTTCGATAGGGTATGGATTCTCACACATATTTGTCAGTAACATTCTAACGTTAATATTTATTTAGTCATGTTTCATTTCAACATTTTATCACACACCCCTAGCAGCTGCTTTGTTGTGTGGCACGATTCCTTTGGCTTTAGGTTTTGATACATATGTTCCGTTCATACATGCCATTACTGTGTGCTTCTACATATTAGTAACATGAAGCAGGCGTCCATCTGCGGAACTGCTTTATACATTGTGCTTCTGTTTCAGTTTACTCGACTACAAATGGCGATTTTTGATTGAAATGTTGGTGTAGGGTAATTCATGGTGACGCTTTATTACGCAATGTCATATCTTTATGCCATAATGTAATACAATGGCGCCCCAATTTACCTTGTACCAGGATCCTATAATCGTGGTTTCGAATCACATAGTCTCTCTGATCATGAAACACGGTGTGCAACAGCAAACAACTAATACCTGAATGACTTTCCTCCCTGAATCATTTGACAAGCCATGATCTGCAACACTGTCCAGGGCGTTATAGCCAACTCACTCACTCCCATAACTGCATCCCGTATCCGCCCTGATTACGATCCTCGGTTTGTCAGTAACTCGTTAGTTTCGCAGCATGGGAAAATACAACACTCGTACCACTTCTGCATTTCCTCTCTGAATAATCTGACACGCCATGATATAACTGAAACAATGTTCAAACTAAGCTAATTCACCTACCCCATTATTGTATTCCATATCCTTTCTGATTATGATCCTACGTTCTCAGCAACATCGTGGGTTTCACCAAAGTGAGAGAAAGCAAGACCTGCCCCACTTTGGGATTACCACCCTGAATAATCTGACATGCCGTTGTGTACTTGAAATACTGTTCAAAGTGGCTTTAAACCCATTTCCCGCTCACACGACAGGTACATAAAATCACGGCTAACAAGTCTACAGCAGACATAACATTTATTATGGCTTGTACCAATGGCCACTGCTTCCTCAGCTAGAGTACAACCACTACCACACCAACGTTTTCAACTACTGTTGAAAGTACGAAACGTCTCCTTTACTGACCTCGCGATCGCGAGATTAACTTTTACTATTACAATATGTTAACTCCTACTTAGGTGTTTTACCTGTCGTGATAATGTTGGAATTTGCGTTAAACCAACCTTTCCGTCCTCTATGACTTGACAAACTATGGTTGTTCACCAAAACGCCAGAAGAAGGAAAAACCTTCTTATCCAACTTGTATTACACTTTACCATTTCTGCAGTTAATACGATATTTTCATCAACATGCGCCAAGCAAAAACGTAAAATCTAATATATTTCATCCTTTAAAAGAAAAAACCCGTAATAATTTGTCCCCCGTAGCCACACTTTTAAAACATCAGACACGAAAAGCAGATACTAGTAATCCATTTGGTTTGACCTAACGTGCAAAACTGCACATATACTTATAATAATATACATACAAGTATTCTTTTCCTAATGCTTTATGTATTGTTGAGTGCAGTATAGAGCATTTGCTTCCCGGATGACGAAAAACTCGGATGGGATTTTTGTAGCAGGTTTATTTTTAGGCGTGGAAAAGCTTTTGTCGTGTTTCCCCCCCCGATGTATCCTGAACAGCATGCTGGGTCAGGCGGTCTGTAATACTCGATCAAGAGGATTCTGTTGACAATCAATATTTCTTCTATACAAGAAACTTTTTCGAGTAGCCACAAATAGCAATGCAGTTTAGTATGCCCAAGCGTCAGTGACGAAATATCTCTATATATCATATTTTGAGAAAATGTGAGAAATTAAAATCCCTCTGTCAATGACGTTTTCACACAAAACAACTTACTCATTGCAAATTTCTAAGATGGATCTTTGTGTTTTGAAATGGCGTTGTTATGGTTATGTATTTGCTTGCATTATACAAATATTATCAGCCACATATACGTAGATTATTTAGACTTCCTTTTTTCTTCCTCACAGCACATTAATGTGCAAGGTTCGCAGAAAATAATTGTGTTACTGAGAAGAGGTTCAAGCCTGAAAGTAACACATCATTGATGATATAGCTCCCGTTGACGTGATACAACTGAAATATTTTTCACAGCAGCGATCTTATTGAAAGTATTTACCTTAGAATATGTTGCTTTGTCAGGTATTACAGGTCTGTACCTCTACACGCTCGGATACATCAAAATATAATGTTTTAACGTGTTAGAGTATTAACCAAAATGAGAGGATAATTTGTTAATGAAAAATCCATGAGATGTCATGATTATATATCTATGCAAGTATCCACATCATAGAAGATATGTTTCATTAAAAAGAAAATCCAATTGTGTCATTATTGAATCATATCCATAATATACGATGAATATCAGGAAGGGTGTGAACCCGATTTTCCTTCTGATAGACTATACACGTAATTTCAAACCCGTGTCCATGTAATATAAGTAGAGGACTCGCGAGGGATGCGATTAACGTTGTATACGTTTTTGTTGAGGTCATCAATCTCTACCATTAAGCACCCCTTAACCACCGGAAATGTATTATATTCCATTATGTTTAACGCATACCATTTCATTTGTAAAACTTTTTCGTTGAGATATTTTAAGCTATCTCTTCAGTCTGGAGTCATCTGTCTCAAATATTCCTAAATATTCTTGACTTTGAATCTAAATAATGTGTCCCAGCCCTTGAAATTACCAAATGTTTGTTTACAGCTACAAGTGTGTAAATATTGTGCTCTTTCCTGCATAGGATATGTTGTAACCAAACCCAGCCCTGCCCATTAATATTGAACGCTTGGTATCTTGTTTGTTTTTCATTTTGTTTTCATTGACATTTTATTGAAAAACAATATCAAGACTGTTTTCATTCCTCTGTGGTGCGATTGTTATGACGTACATAGGACGGTAGAAAAGGTATTGTTTTTTACTGAAAGGTAATTTATATTTGTGATGATACCATAGTATGCTTTATTTTACGTCAGCTACAGCTAAATATATTGATTAATCGTTGCATTCTCCACATTTTGAGTTAGTGAGGCATTTAACGTTGTAAGACGTTGAGGAAAGTAATATTTTTACTTGGTAACTTCTGATCTGTGCACAAACCAGATCACGACGGCTTAAATATATATTATACCAGTGTAAGCAATAGATTTAGCCGAGTTCGTGTAATCAGGCCTGTGTTCTATGACGTTAGTTCCACGTATAACAAATGTTTAACACCTTGTAAGGAGGAAAAAACCCGTTAATATAAATATAACTAAGTGCCTAAGTGTTTCTATTTATACCAAAGCCACGACAGCGCGGCGGTACAAGCATTGCCCCTTTCATACTCTTGACATTAAGGAACAGTGTGTCATTCATCTGGTAGAATATGTAATTGATTAAATAACCTCTGCCCTGCCTGGAACATTGCATCTTGGATGACTCAATTATTAAAAGAACAAAAGTGCGTGTGGAATTTTAGGAACGTGAGAAGTATAATGTGACCAATGAAACAGTTTAAACTGTTGTACACGGGGAAGGTTTACAAGAGTTACACACTCTCTCCTTGTGCAGTAGTCTTAAACAGAATGAAATATTGTAGGCGGGAATGCTTCTCATAATTTAGATATGTTTAGCTGCATTTTAAAAAGAATGTTTACGCTCTCTCTAATCTGGTTAAGCCAATATAAACATGAGTATTGCACATTCAATGTCAATAACAGAGCATGACGAACCTGACAGCGTTCAGATCAAAATGTTCGTTCTTCTTGTGCATGAGTTTCTATTAATAATTTTATATTTCGTAACATTTTCCATATTTTTTTCAAACTGTTAATAACCGTAATGATTCTGAGTTATTGTGTACTTCATCATAACATATTTCTTTACACCAGATAATCGTATCAATGTGTATAAATGTTTATTCGAAATGTAATGAACATTTTGTGCCCCTAAGAAGGTAAACTCGTTTTTTAAATGAAATTGAAGCCACCTCATTCACTTATAGTGTAAATGCATTCGTATGATAGATAGTTTATACTATACATTAATAATTGAGGAATACGTGCAATGGTTAATGTTTGGCTGATTTGAAGGAATGAATGTCAGGTAATGTAAGGCACATGCTCATTCTTAGACTCGCTTGGTAGCTATATCGTATATGCTTGCTTGGAAATAGAAGTATGGTTTTCATCGTATTGCTTCAATAATGATAACAATTATTAGTGTTTAACACGAGCAACTATTCATCTTGGCCCATCAGCAATGTGTTTAGTCAGACACAAATAAACATTCAAAAGGCAATTCTAGTTAAGTTTGGCGAATATTTTCAAAAATGTGTTATATAATATGAAAAGAGATCAAACACTAAAGAACGCTATAACAGCAGAAAACGAAACCAATCATTTCATACGTTCTCTTAATCACATGTAATGAAATATATGCGCGATTGTATGTGGCTTCTCGCACAAAGGGCACTATTGTGTTGATTAGAGAGACAGTTTTAATAAAATTGTCACTTTTATCGACTTAGTTCCAATATTGTGTTTCAAAAGTGTGTTACGTGTTGCTAGTTTTAAATTCCGCAATGACGTTATATAACCATTTTAAGGATGAGTTTTCTTTTCCTGTAAATACTTGTTTTCATGCCTTTGCATTGTGACTCTTTTCATGTGAAAGAGACAGGGCTGAGAATACATGCATTATTTAAATGTCCGTCTTTGTCTTAGAGTTAATACATCAGAACACAAAAAATAATCTTTGTTATTATGACCCTGTCACACTCTATCATACATATGATAAAAAGATTAATGATTGAAAGTATCATATCACATTACCTCAGTATAGCTTTTCGAAGAAAACAACCCAAGGCATAACCCAACCACCTCAAAAAGCTTAGTGTCAAGTTAAACGAAAATAACAAATAAATCATACCACGGCAACGAAGACCAGAAGTAGGATGTCAGCTAATGTTTTCCCCTACTGTTTCAGATTATATGTCCAGCGATCTCGGTACAACGACCAGCCCCAACATCTGACAGAGCCCCCGGACACCAGCGAATACTCGTCCTCCGCCGCGTCGCTCGTGTCGGACGCGACGCGGTCGTCAATACGCTTGTAGCACTGACACTACGTCATGTCAGCAAGTGTGTGTATATGTGTGTGTATGTGTGTGACAGGTGTATGTTACGCGTAAATGTACATATAAGAATGACAGAGTAAATGGAATTGTGAAATAAACTGTGAATACTGTAGCACTGTAGCCAAAGGCATCTCTACCCTTGCTCAACCTATCTGATATTGATGCTGTACATGCTATACGATTATTGTGTAAATTATGACCATGGAAATAAGAATGAAATGCGAGCTTACATGTACATTAAGCGTGTGACTGGTTCAATATAACATTGTACATCTTTTAAGGTATTATGTAATGAAATGAATAAATCTGCTTAGTCAGCGCTGTTGATCATAATTATTCTGAAATGGACGAATCCGGTGTATATTTCAACAGAAGAGATTACTGAGAGAGTTTTCAACCAGTAATGTATGTAAATGTATGTAGATATGTACATGCCAACTACCTGTGGGGTTACCACAATAAGATGATATGCAGTTGCCGTATTCATCAATGACTAAATGTAAATACCATGTCCATCAAAGTGTAAATAAGGATGAAAATGTATTTTTGAAAATAAAGCTTTTCTTGTCATTACTCACTGTTTTGTGCTAGTTAAGTGACGAATGCATGTACTGGTACTATGCTACGATTTCTACTCTATCAAAAGGGGCGGTCGGGTAGTCTAGTGGTTAAAGCGTTCGCTCGTTACGCCGATGACCCGGGTTCGATTTCCGACATGGGTACAATCTGTGAAGCCCATTTCTGGTGTCCCCCGCCGTGATATTGCTGGAATATTGCTAAAAGCGGCGTAAAAGGATACCCACTCACTCACTACGATATCAAAAAGCATGTGTCTATCAAAGCGTATCCTACCCTACCGGTGGTACCCGCCACAAACACATGCAAATACCAGTCAATTGTTCGATTACAAAAACACGGGGACAAATGGTACAAGATAAAACACGGAACTGCAGCGGACATAATTTTTTGTCACTGATGTGTCTAATTTGGAAATGTCCTCCACGTGTCTAGCATAAACTTTTTGAAAGTATTACTGAGGCCTTGAATCTTGTAACCTTGATCAAACAACTTTTGAGAAAGAGTCACATGACACTCTTAGAAAGTTCATACTCTATTATACTTTAAAAGGTGTGAAAGGGAATCCAATTGAGGCGAACTCCCTTGATTTGATGCATCGATTATGTCGATGGAAATTTAGAAGTCCAAGGGTTCCGTCGATATATGGTCATATATCGAAAATACCCTTGTCTTGAATTATTGAGCACTCAATATTTCTGGTGTTCCAAGAACTTCAGGTTAACGAGGTTGAGCTGTGGCTGCATACACAGTCCATCTTCTAGACACAGATTCGTGAAGGCGTTTACATATACTGATGGCGCCTTTGATTTGTTACTTTCAATTTGATCCTGCTGATGACCCTGCTCTGAGGCTGTGTAATTGGGGCGTATTATTTCTGCCAGTCACTGTACACACGGGACGCTCTCCATGTCTACAAGGAAATTGATAGAACTTGTCCAAATATGTAGACTTGAAAAACGAAGCAATACAAACGAAGGACAACCTGAGACAGGATTTGTACAGCATTATCTGTGTTATACCAATATCACTGTCACAGTCTATCTGACTAGCAGCAGCGACAAGCAGTATCCTGTGATTATTAATAATTCCAAACGTTAAATTCATTGTCGCTTTGATGCTATATGCGTTTCATTAAATTCAGCATTCTTCTTTTCCCAATGTAAATATTGTTTTGAAAGTTCAAAACTTTTTATTTAAGGCAACAGCCTTTCTTCTTCCCTGCTGTAGTAGAATGATGTCATCTCGGGAGACATTGGATATGGCGAGATCTGTGACAAGGAATCCTGTGTACCAGTGTTCATTATTTTAGCATGCAAATAAAATATCTTGTTGAGAAAGCAATGGAAGAAATCTTACGGATTATTCATATAAATAAGTACAAGTAATAGTCTGTTTACCTATGTATATATATAACTAAACACTTTAAAATATATATATATGGACTAACGTGATATCTGTGTTTGATTGAAGTATGTTTTCGAGACCTGTCATTGATGGCGATATGTAGTGTTGTCTTTGAAGCGTACGTAGGCTACTAATAGAAATTGTTTTCTTAAAATACTTTATCAATATCCACGATTGTACCTGTATAGTTTCTTATATGTAAGAACGTCTCTCACCTGCGTGTTACGCCAATCTGGTAAATGTACATCCTATTACAGAAACATTTCATGAAAATGTGAAGACTAACATTGTGAATATAAACATAAGATATATAATGAAGCATAATCAACTTTCCTTGATCTCTGTTCTTGATGTTACATCTTAGAGCACAATTATAATATTGACGGGACTGAACGTATTCGTGTATCTCAGAGAAGTTCTCAGCTTGTTTCTCAGCATTATCATACTAATGCTATCCATTATCTCTGTTCATAGAATATTCAAAAGACTATGTCCAGTACCTTCTCAAATGTCGTCGTAATATCTAACGTAATATCTAAATGTCGAAACGAATTTCCTTAAGTTTAAAATCAATTATTGCAATCGTCATTCGCAAAACACATAAAATTCGTTCATTTAGTTAAGGACTTCATCAATAATCTAACATGTTCTTGGAATGTAGAGTGTTTATTTATTGAAAATGCATGTGTTGCACTATAGATTTTATAAGTCTATGTAGATAACGTACGCGTTTTACATTAGCGATCTAGAACTTCGAATTCATTCTGTAAAGGAGCAACGCCACAATCATAAATCAATATTTAGATAAACACCTCCACTGTTCACTGTCTGAACTATGAAATGAAATTCCTTCACCTGTAAAAATCGTCGTTTGTATTTGTTGGTGGGTTCAAGCTAGTGTTCTGAGGTCAAATCGATGACCAACGCGAGGCACTGGTCAGCAATGTTTGTCGTGCGTCAGTGTGGCTGCTATCGACTAGTTACACATGAGCAGTGGTCATTGCCAACAACGTTAGGGCATTCTTCCACCCCATACCCACAGCAAGTAAACAATATCACTGCACAGAACAAGTGAGGGAATATTGTTTCAAAGTGATAAAAATGATGGCCCTTAACACTCTGAAGCTAAATAAAGTTCAAACGAGGACATTCTTTATTTCATTATGTGTGTGAGTTACCGCCACCTTTGAGATACAGAGCACGCGGCATTCAACATTCATATTGACCCCTTTTTCGACATTCAACATCTTCAGATTTAAAACTCAAAAGCTAAAGTGCTTCATATTAAATTATTGATGTGAGCTCTTTTTCGCAATTTTGACTTTTATCCGTTAGGAAAAGTTGCATTTGAACATTTTAATCACTTCATCGATAACACAGTTCAATGACGACTTTACCCATCTTCAAAGATTGTTTTTCACACTTTGACAACATGTATGCTGTTTGTAGAACCATGTTCACGATAAACAAACCAGTGTGGGACTTTAAGTTATGGATCAGGAACCAAATACTGCTTCGAAAGAAAACTAAAACATTTGCATGTCTGTATTTTATTCCCTGTTATTCACAGAACATGGTATATGCTTGTGCTCGGTAACCGAGGAGTTGCTGAATCTAGGAGTCTAACCATGAAGGATGTATAGTACAAGGTTAACAGTTTGCATGCATCAAAAACAATACTATTCCATGCTTACATGATGCATTTAAACCAAATACACAACCATACAGCATATTTCTGCAGGCATCAAAGTGACTAGGTAGTATCTTTTGATGAACAGCCATCTACCTTAGAGGATGGTGCTCTTTCCTGGTGATCAGTGGAACTCAAGAGGGGAAAGGGAATCTTGAAGAGAATACATCCTCTATATCGTAATTGCAACTGGAGATAATATTAGTGATCTGTCTATAGCCAAATATCTCATTTTTCTGTTTTTCAATGTTAAAAGATCCGCTCAAAATCTTAAATGAATGTTTGTAAATTTTCTGTCAGATAAGACTGAAAGATATTTCTCTTGTTCTGATAGACTGTATAATTAACGTGAATTAACGAGCGCTAGTTTTGAAAGAAACCCGCATTGATACAAGTTTCCTTAAATAGGTGTGGACAAGGAAATTAATTATCAACCGTTTGAGATATCCAAACAAATCCAACACCATGAGGAAAAAGTAATGAACGGATATTAGAGGCCAATGTTACCTGAATACACTAACATGTTATATGCCTTTTTAGGTAATCTGTCTTCGTGCATATAAGCTACTATAAATCAGTATTTTATTGTTCTAATCTTAAGAAGAGAGTTTATATAAATCGGAATACCGACAAATCATGATACGTAGTTCGACATGTACATGTAGAATATTTATTTATTTAGAAACAAGCATACTATTTTCAGAACAGAATGTGTCGTTGATTCGAACGAAATACATTTAACGCGCTGCTTAAATTATGTTCTTATGATTTGAAACCTGTGATTTCAATCAAACTAAATTTCATGATCGAAAAAACTAAGACATAAATACATTTTATTACTTAGAATTTTGTTGGGATATAGACTAATCATAAAGTGATTGTAGCTCTGATTTTAACATCACCTGTTTTGTTCGTTACATAATGGTGGGACTAACTTATTCTTATGAAATTGAAACAATATCTAATAACTGCATTTGCCAATACGGATAGTTACATACATATTAGCTAAAAATGTATAATCTATCACTGCTAAACATAACAATATTTCTTTTGTTACTGAGTTGATATACTTCATCTTTACAACTTTTTTTAAACATGTGAAAAACTGAAGCTTACATTTTATTCAAAACAACAAGGGGGGATCAAGAGTCGCTCATACACCAGGTACAGGGGCCGTACACAACCTTTTGGGACAGTTTTAATAAAAATCCAGAGTGGAGTAGATGTGTTTAGATAGTAAAGTTTTATATGACATGCGAACAGATGTCTTTTAACAATTAAATACATAATATTATGCATAACAATAAAGGTATGGCAGATATAACAGCTGTAACAGTAGACAGTATTATAATTACCTTAACTCCTAGTTTCTTGTAACTGTTAATTATTATTCATATTTTCAAAATACAGATCAGATCGAAGTGAAACACATGATAAAGTATAAACTGCAGTCCGTCAGTGAGCGTGTTATCGTTCAATTATATTCTGATATACCTCAGACAATATACCAATTTTGTATTTGAGTAGTTTTCAACAACACAAGAAAAATCTGAACATGTATTAATCATTCCATAAATGCAAGGCAATGCTGGATATTGGAGTCTGTTTGTTACCAAAATGTTTTACATTACAGTACTATGTCACTGGTACTATATCGCTATAACACCACGGGCTATATTATCACGAACATATATATATATATATATATATATATATATATATATATATATATATATATATATATATATATATATATATATATATATATATATTTCGTTTTGTCAAGAACAAGTGTCTTGCCAATTAGCTGCAATAACCACACGTGTATTTATCCATGCTCATCTCAACAGACATCATGAGTTGACAGGTCTTAGTAAGGAGTTTAACTTAAGCG